TGACTTCATATGCACAGAAGAGCCCTGGAGCTCCAGGCTGGACACATCCCCCAGGCCCCCACCTCACCCCACCCCTCACCAGGGCATCCCTATGCCCCCGTCCCCCAGGACCCCACCTGTGGCCTCCCCACCCTCTGCAGATGTGGGAGCACCATGCTCTCAGCCACCTTGTCGGCCCGCCCCTCAGGGCTCTTAGAGGCAGACCCTCGGACTTGTACTAATAATGATTTTGTTTGTAATCGCTGCAGCTCCCAGTGAGTGGGCATCTACTGTGGAAACCTGAACCCATCTAGTCCTCTCGGAACCCAGGGGTTGTCACCCTATGTTACACTTGGGGAAACTGAGGCTCGCGGAAGGAAGCTGAGCTGGTATTGAACCCTGGCCTGCCTGCCTCCGAAAGCAGGGTCCTCTGTGCAGCAGGCCCGGCATGCCCGCCCCGCTGCTGGGCAGGTCCACCCCGGCCAGCTGCTCCGAGAGGCACCTCTCTTTGCTTCCAGTGGCTGCTGGCGGCAGAGGGCAGTGGCGGGGCAGCGCTGGAGCATGGGCAGGAGTCCCACTGAAAGCACGGGGCACCTTCCTCACCACAGCAGGGGGACCGCTGCAGGAGAGACACCCTGGCCACACCTGTGCACACGCAGGCCCACACACAGATGCGTGCACACACACATTCCCAGACGGGAGCACCAATCGCAGGTGTACACACGCACACCCAGACGGGGCTGGCTGCACACGCAGGCCCCTCCACACAGGCCTGTTGCACATGGATGTGTGTGTGGGTGTAGACGCATGCTCCCACACACCAAGACCAGTCCCTGTGTCACGTGTGCAGTGCTCATAAACTCGGGAGCACAGACTGTGAACTCCCCCCACCCCCATGCCCGCCCGCCAGGGGAAGCCACGCGGGGCTCTTGGGACCCCGTTTGCTCAGGGCCTTCCTCAGGGACATGGCTGTGGAGGGACTCCGCGCTGAACCCTCAGTCAGGGAGCCGACCCTGCAGGGGTGACACGGGCCTAGAGGTCCCCGGCAAGGGCTAGTGAAGGCCGTCGGGATGAAGGGCAATTCTGATGGCCAGACAGAGCGAGAGAGGGCCTGTGCTGGGAGGGAAACGTGTGACGAGGAGTGGACCAAACGCAGAGTCCGAACACCAGGCCGAGTAGCTGGGACCTTCAGCTGCAGGCGAAGGGGAGCCCGGAGGGTGATTGGAGCATGTGGGGTGCAGGCTCTGGCCCTCGGTGGAGCCCCTGGGAGGGAGAAGCAGGCGCAGGGCCAGCCATCCTCGGGGATGGACCGATGGGGTGGGGGGGTCAACTCAGGGAGTGTAGCGTGGCGTGGCTCATGCACTGACCGTGCCAGGGTGATTTTGCTACCCTTCCTGGCTCCGGGCTGGGTCTGAGAGGGGAAGGGGCATCTGGCCACAGGGTCTGACTTAACCTCCCTGAGCCTGCATATCCTTGTCCTTAAAACGGGGAGGATAATAGAACCCTCCCCGCCAGGGCTGCTGTAGAACTCAGAGACATTTGCTGGTTATTAGCTTGCTGTTTACTTCTGTACAAGGGACATGTAACCACGGGTTGATGTTGGTCTACAGAGATGAAAACAATGTACATAAGAGAGAAGGGGGGGCGGGGAGTGCCGTCACGCATAGTAAATGTAGTTTGCACATTTGGGGGTAGACTGATTAGCTGGCACCTTGCAGAGCTCAGCCCGGGCATTCAGTCCTTGCTTAGGCCAGAGGCGGGTAGAATGACCACTGGTTCACTGACAGGTTCTACGGGCAACCTTGAGAGCTTAGCTGGGGAGCTGTGGGCCAGGGGTCCCCGTGGCATCTGCTGGCACCTCCCGTCAGCACCCAGCTTGGTTAATCCAGGTCCCCTCCACTCCCATCAGACTCTCTCTTCAGGAGTCACTGAAGTGTCCAAGTGCTAGGGGAGCATCTGGCACACAGTAAGCGCTCAATAAACGCCTGCCTTCACGGTGCCTCCATCAGTTCAACGAAACAAACAGCTCTGTCCCGGGCAAGGGGTCCAGGTGAGGCAGACTCAGCCCCTGAGCTCCAAGATGTCCCAGGCCCCCATCCACTGAGCCGGCCAGCCATCAGTGAGTGGCAACGGCACGCCAGCCCCTGGGCGATCAGACTCGCTCCTGCTCTCAGGGAGCTCCTGGCACAGTCAGAGGGACACGGGAGGCCCAGGTGGGGACCAGGTTGGGGGGAGGACAGACAGAAGGTGGCACTGCAGAGCCTCCACCTTCCCTGCTGCAGCTCCCAGGCTCATGGCCCAGCTCTGGGCAGGGAGGGGCTGTCCAGAGCTCCCTGAGGTGTGAGTCGGGGAGGGTGGGAGGGAGAGGCCCAGGGGAGCCTGGGAGCAGGATTCTTAAGGGAAGGAGGGGCTGTCAAAGGGGCCCAGGACTGGGGCCCTAAGAGGTCTACCCCAGGTGGGGGAGAGGGCAGCCTGGACCGTCCAGGTGAATGCCCAGGGCCCCTCCTGTGCAGAGCCACCTGTCCCGGGCCCCTGAGGAGGCTGCTCCCAGCCCTCAGGCAGGTGGGCCGCAGGTGGGCTGGACTTGCCTTTTACAGAGGAGAACACCCTGCCCAGAGCCACCAGGTGGTAGGGGGAGGGGCAGGGCAATCAAAGAGGCCTCACGTGAGGCTTCTCCCTGGCTGCACCCCAGTCAGGTGCCGCCGCCGATCTGGGCGCTCAGGTTCCCACACTGACAGGTGAGACCTGGCGGAGCCATGGGTGTGGCTTGGCCACTGTCCCCGTGGGGGCCTCTGCAGCACCACAGCTGAGCTAGACAAGACTGCTGGGTGGCTCAGGCTGATTCAAGCCCCAAACACATTCCGTGGGCCCTGGGTCCCTCCTCTGGGCCCCACATCCAGGGTCTAGACCAGCGGTTCTCAACCTGTGGGTCGCGACCCCTTTGGCAGTCGAATGACCCTTTCACAGGGGTCGCCTAAGACCATCCTGCCAGCCTCTCTGCCTCCTCCCCGTCTCAGCCAGCCCACTGCCACCCACAAGGAAGTCCCTGCCTGCCCACCCCCTCTCCACACAATGCAACACACACGCACCACACGCACACACAGACACCCCCCCACACACACACAGACACACACACATATACACACACCACACACAACCAATACAAAACAAGATTACACACACACAGGAGCTTTCCTCACATTTTTACTTTGAACAACAACAACGAAAACGCACGAAGAGCTGAAAAGACACTCTGCCCACCGCGTCTTTCCACTTGTGACCCCAGGTCCTTGTGCTGGTCTCACCCTAATCGGGTTCCCGCCCCTCGTTCTGTGGACTGGCCACACCAGCCACTCGCACACACAGGGTGCAGCCCGGCCATCCAGCCCCAGGTCCAAGGACCTCCCTAGCCCTCCATGCCTAGCTCCCTGGAGACCCCGCCGTAGGGGTCCCCCGGTGAACATCTGCCGTGTGTGAGTCCTGCCTCTCTGGGCCTCTCCAGTGAGAGCGTTTCGGCTTCTCTTTGTGAGCAGTTTGGTGAGCCGAGCCCTGGCCGTGGAGTGAGTTGTCAAGCCCTTCAGGAAGGAAATCTGGTCAGGGCCAGAAGTCTGCCCATTTTTAGGTGAGGATCTGAGGCTCAGAGAAGTGGTCACACCAGCGAGGGGCAGCTCAGGTTCAAGTGGACCTGTGCTCTTCACCGTGGAGCCAAACCACCCTGTCTGCTTCCCTGACCCATTGTCTTCGAGCCTCCTGAGGGCACCAGCTGGATGGCCGACCAAGGCCATGGGGGTCTCAGCCGCAGTGGTATGGGAGCTGGGTTCTACTGGGATTAACTTACTAACAACCATTGACTCTCTCAGGACTCTGCTCAGGTGGCCCCAACCCCAGGCCAGGAATCGCTCCCTAACTCCCACAGGCACCCTTCCCTGATCCTGGCCCCTCTAGCACCCAGGATCCCGACAGTAGCCCTCACCCAGCCCCCACACTGAGCAATAATTGCTCTTCACACTTCTCAGGGTCAGGGACCAGTGATGCAGGTCTCGCCACCATGGGGAGTGTGTGCTAGGGTCTCCCGGCTTTGGCCTCCGGGCCGGCATGTCTGCACGCTTGGCAGGAAGCTCACTGCCTACAAGCACTGTTGGGAGGGTCGGGTCTCTCCCTCCTTCCCAGGCCTTGCTCAGGCCCTGGAAGTGCCCCTGCTGCGGTAGGAGAGCCGCCCCTTCTTCCCAGTGACACCTGAACCTGTGGCCGGAGTTGGGATCAGCAGTGGCACCAGGGCCTGTCCTGTGGTTATAGTCACACAGCAACTTCTGCCCCCTGCCCCCACCACACATGCATGAAGAATCCCCCATAGACCCTGAGGCCCCTATTTTAAGGGGGGACTATCAGAGGTTCCTGTCCTCTCAGGGTGGCCCCATCAGAGAAGCTGGGCTGAGGACTTGGCTGCGCCTTCCCAGAGTGAGGCCCTGCCCACCTCCCCCAGAGGAGCCCCAGTTGGTCAGGGACATGGCTGGCTGCCTCCACCCTGCCATGGAGAGGATGCCAGTCACTCCATGTACCCCCTCAAGCCTGGCCGAGTGACCCTGCTAGCACCCCTCACCTGGGCAGCACCCCGTGGGACAGGGCTGGAGCACAGAGGGTCCCACAGCCACATGTCTCGTGTCAGTTCCAATCCCACTGGGCAAGTCAGTCCTCGCCTGGGCCTGATGCCCAGCCGGCCAGGACTCTCAGCATGGCCCAGGGCAGGGGCTAGATAGTCTGCCCTGGGTCAGCCCATGGGAGTTCACTTGTAAAGGTGCAGGCTGGAGTTCTTGGAACTGATCATGCAAGTGTGTGTGTGTGTGTGTGTGTGTGTGTGTGTGTGTGTGTGTATGTGGTGGCTGCAGGGATCTCAGGCCTAGAGAGACCAGCAAGGGACACCTGGAAGGCTTCCTGGAAGAGGGGAGTTCTGGCTAGCAGTGACAGGAGGCACAGACTCTATGGGCCAGGGAGGCAGGTTAAAGTGAGGCCCAGGGGGGCACCTCCTCCCTGCCCTCTTCCTCCCCCTGCTCCTGCTGTCACCACTCACCGCTCACAGCCTCGAGGAGGTGGGGACCCCAGGGCTGGACACACCCCACCGTGGCCCCAGAGCCCACCTGGTCGGACAGACAAACGCGTGGACGCAGGACCCCGGAGCCCCGAGGTGGGCAGTGTGCCAGGGTCCCTCACAGCCTCCTCAAGGTCAGTGCCAGCCGGGATGCAGCTACTCTGGGATCCTTGAGACCTTCAGAGCCCTCCCCAAGCTCCTCATCTTAGACCTCAGGTCCCAAAGTGGGCTCCTGCCCAGGTGTACTGGAAGCCGGCAGGACCAGGGGACAGGGGGGACTCCTGTGTCCACAAGCTGGCCCAGGTCTGGGGGTCAATTGGGAGAGGTCCCAGGCCGGGGGCCAGCCCTGGCCCTGCTCACGGAGGCCTCACTGGGGACACCCGCACCGGCCATGGGGAGCTAAAATTGGAAAGTGGCGAGTGGGAGGCAGCTGACAAAGCTATTTCGCGGGCTCTTCACCGTGCTCCGGTTTCAAGCTCCTGCTCCATTAACCTGATCCTTGGGGCCTCCCTACCCCCGCCGGCCCATGAGGAGGCGGCTCAGCCCTCAGGCCGGCCGGCCGCGCAGAAGTCAGGCGCAGCAGCCCCCCGGTTTGGGAAGGGGCAGCAAAGGTCCTTTTATCTGTGACCCCAGAGGGGCTCGCTGAGAACCCCTGATCCTGTCCATTTTGCTGTATGACCTTGACAGGCCCCTGAGCCTCTGTTCCATGGCCCCTCCATCTGTAATAGGGAGAATGCTGACGCTGGGGGCCTAGGAGAGCTGTTATCAGACTTGGTGAGGGAGACTTGGGAGGGCACCTGGGTTGGGAGAGAGCCATGCCTGCTACCTCTTGGCTCGGTCCAGCTCGAGAGGGTGCTGATACATGTCCCACCGCTCCATTTAATTTGGGCCCTGAGTCTGTTACCCATGGGGCCCTTGGGAAGGTCCGGGGCCAGGCTGGAGCTGGATAGGGAAGGAATAGGTGCTAGCTGAGGTCCCAGGGATGGCCCAGCAGAGCTCCTGGGGACAAACCAGGCTCTGGTAGAAGGGAGTGGCTAGGCTCGCCCTGAGCCTGATACGGTCAGCACCTTGGACAGCAGCCAGTGCCCTCCCTGGTGCCCGTCTGGCCCCACTCCCGCTACCCTGGGGCAACTCTTCAAATAGCACAGCCTCCAGCCAGCATCCAGGGCCTGAATACACAGAACAGTGAGAGACACAGCAGGGACCAGGGACACAGGCAGGGACCAGGGACATGGCAGGGACCAGGGACACAGGCAGGGACCAGGGACATGGCAGGGACCAGGGACATGGCGGGCTGGGGCTCAAGGGCTGATTGGGGGCGTGGGGGGTCAGCGAGAGGCTGGAGGCTTGGTGCTGGGGCTGGACCTGGGGAGGTCAGGGAAAGTAACGGCGGCTCAGGAGGGTGTGGAAGTCAGAGAAGGGGCATGGAGGGGTGGGGCTTTGTCAGGACTGAGGGAGGCTTACTGAAGGGGGTGGGGACCCTGATGGCCAGAAACAGGAATGAGGTGATGCAGAGGGGGCTGCTCCACTCGAGGGGCACCTGAGGCCTGGGCAGGAGCAGGATGAGCAGAGGGTGGGGACCAGCCCGCCGCCAGGTATGGGAGTAAATAAGGTGAGGGAGCAGGCTGAGGGTGGAGAATGTGCTTTCAAGAGTTTCAATGGGAAAGACAGGAGTTTGGATGGGGGGGCGGTGGGGGGAGGCCTGGGAGGAGTTGGGGATGGAGGAGGGGAGAATGATGGGAGGATACAAGAGGGGCAGTCTCAAGAGTGGGGTCCTCACCACCTCAGTAGGGGAGCATAAGGTGGGCGAGGCAGGACTGGGGGTCAGCGGTGCCCTCACCCAATCTGTCTTCCCAGCCACCTCCAGGCTATGGGCATCAAGACAGCGCTGCCGGCGGCGGAGCTGGGCCTGTACTCCCTGGTGCTGAGTGGGGCTTTGGCCTATGCGGGCCGGGGCCTCCTCGAGGCTTCACAAGGTAACCGCTGGGCCCCTGGGCAGCGGGGTGGGACCTTCTCTCTCTCTGGGGGCCTCAGCGTTCCAACCAGCAAGGCCAGAAACTCAGAGGCTCCAGACCCAGGGTGGTCTCTGGGCCCTAGGACGGGGCTGAGCCAGGTACAGTGACGGGGAGACACAGACACAGGAGCACGGACAGAGACCTGGACACAGAGCCACGGAGAGAGAGACGCTCAGACCCTTAGGGAGGCCTGGGCCCAGGCATACAGTGAGACCCGAGAGAGACAGGCTGTGTAAGGTGGGGGCCAGCCTCGCGTAGGGCAGGCATGGGCGAGGCGGGGCGGTCCGCCCCCTGAGGCCACGCTCTGTTCTCAGATGGGGCCCAGAGGAAGGCCTTCCGGGAGTCTGTGCGACCCGGCTGGGAGTACATTGGTCGGAAGATGGTAGGTCCTTCACACCCCAGGTCCCTGGCTGGGGTCCCTGGCCCCTGGCACATCTCTCTGGCCCCAAACCTGTCCGGATGCTCCCCTTGTCCAGATGTTCAGGGGGCTCCCAATGGGGAGGGTCTCCAGCACCTTCCCCTTCTCCACTGGCCCCTCCTGCCCAGACCCTGCTCATTCAGGGAGTAAATCGAGACGTGCCTGGCAGGGGCCTCCGGCACCATTCTTCCCAGGAGCAAGGCAATAATGGCGTCACTTCAGGCAATGGGCCGGGGAGAGGGTGCGCTCTGAGGGGCAGGGCAGCCCACAAGGTACTCCTCATGCCTCTCTGTCTCCCTGCCTGATGCTTCCCTCAGAGGGGAAGGCAGGGCCTCCAGCCATGGCTCTGCTCTCATGCGTCAGAAGAACCTGGGGGCTGGGACGTGCTGGGACTCTGAGCAGCCCGAGTGCCAGCCCCTCCTGCCCCCGCCCCACCTTAACCTGCCCGGGCCCACCCAGGATGTGGCTGACTTCGAGTGGGTGATGTGGTTCAGCTCCTTTCGCAACGTCATCCTCTTCACCCTCTCCGGACACGTGCTGTTTGCAAAGCTCTGCACCATGGTGGCCCCGCAGGTGAGCAGGGCCCGAGCCACCCCAGCCTCCCCCACCAGCCCCTCCTCAGCTCCAGGGGGAGTGGGGAACCCTCGCCGGGGTCCCACCTCCATGTGTCTGGACAGGTAAACGCAGCCTCCCCCCTCCCCCCCCTCACAGCTCCGCGCCTGGATGTACGCTGTGTACGGGGCCCTGGCCGTGGTGGGCACGATGGGCCCTTGGTACCTGCTGTTGCTGCTGGGCCACTGTGTAGGCCACTATGTGGCCTCACTCCTGGGTCAGCCCTGGCTCTGCCTTGGCCTCGGGATGGCCAGCCTGGCTTCCTTCAAGCTGGACCCCCTCATCTCCTGGCAGGTGTGCGACAGGGCGGGGCAGGGGTAGAGGGTGCAGGGATAGGACCTCAAACCTCTCCCACCCCATCCAAAGCCCTTCCCCCCCAACCTCCCCAAGCCTTCCCTTCACTTTCCCCGCGGTCTCCCAGCCTGTTCCCAGGGAGGATGCCTGGCCTACAAGGTGGTCCCCTCCCCCAAAGCAGGGACACGTCCAGCTCATCCTCTGCCCCACCCCTGCCCTTACCATGAATGGGGCCTGAATGGCCAACTTTGACTGGGTCTGGAGAGAGGAAGGGACGGGACCAGGCTGGGCCCCTGGGGAAGCTGGGCGGGCTTCCCAGAGACAAGGGGCACCTGGTGAGCTGGCGGCCTGCTCTCTCCCATCCAGAACGGGTTTGTAACAGGCACTTTTGATCTTCAAGAGGTGCTGTTCCAGGGGGGCAGCGGCTTCACGGTGTTGCGCTGCACCAGCTTTGCGCTAGAGAGCTGTGCCCACCCTGATCGCCGCTACTCCCTGGCTGACCTGCTCAAGTACAACTTCTACCTGCCATTCTTCTTCTTCGGGCCCATCATGACCTTTGACCGCTTCCATGCCCAGGTGAGGGGCACCCGGGGGCTCTCAGAGCTGAGCTGACTGTCCCTCTTCAGCCAGGGGCTCCCGTCTCTGATAGGACTCCCGGGGCGGGCTGTGCCCCCTCCTCAGGCATGACGGCCTTCCTCAGACCCCAGGACTGGGCCACCTTCCCCTCCTCCTCCCCCCAAGGATCACAAGATGGAGATGTGTCTCCTCCCAGACAGGACTCTCCTCCTACTCAAATGGGGTTCCCAAGACAGGACTGGGACTCCCCTAGCCAGCTGTGCCCCCACCTTGGGTGTTCCCACCCTCAGGCCAGGCTGCCAGGATGGAGGCAAGCCTCCCGCACCCTCAGATCCCCAGGAAGTCAGTTCCAGGATGTCACTCCCATTCACAATCTGGACATCCCCCAGGTGAGCCAGGTGGAGCCGGTGAGGCGCGAGGGTGAGCTGTGGCACATCCGGGCCCAGGCGGGCCTCAGCGTGGCGGCCATCATAGCCGTGGACATCTTCTTTCACTTCTTCTACATCCTCACCATCCCCAGTGACCTCAAGTTCGCCAGCCGCCTGCCGGACAGCGCCCTCGGTGGGTGCGCGGGGGACCCAGAACAGGGGTGGGGTCTGGGCTGCCCCCCCACCCAGAAAGATAGACTTGTATTCCTATGGTGTCACCGCTGGGGAAGCTGACACCCTAAGGGCACAGCACCTATCTGAGGGTGTGGGAGCGGGAACTTATTTCTTGACATGTGTGGGACTTGTTCTCTTTGTCCTGTGAAGCCAGACTGGTATGAGACAGAGCCCTTTCCACCTCACTGGGGCCTCGGGCTGATCTCCACAATGGATGGGGTCTCCCTGGGGTGGCCAGGATCCATGAGGCGGGGAGCGGAGTGCCCATGGAGCAATCTGGGCAGCAGGACCTTCCCCCAGACCTGGAGATTGTCAGAAGCGGAAGGCCAGACTCAGTGATTCCCTCTAGATTTGGGTGTCTGGGGGTGGGAAGACAGGTGCGACACCTGCCAGGTTGTGACAACATGCTGTCCCCAGCTGCCCTCGCCTACTCAAACCTGGTGTATGACTGGGTGAAGGCCGCTGTCCTGTTTGGCATAGTCAACACGGTGGCACGTCTCGACCACTTGGACCCGCCCCAGCCTCCCAAGTGCATCACAGCACTCTACATCTTTGCGGAAACGTGAGTGTGGGCAGCGGGCATCTGGGGGCATGCCCTTGGGTTCCCCTCCTTCCCTGAGCCTCTTCCCCTACGTGATTCACACCCAACTGCCCTCTTCCCACAGGCACTTTGACCGTGGCATCAATGACTGGCTTTGCAAGTGAGTTGGGTGGGGTGGGGGGGGGGGGGGATGGTCACAGTCATCGTGCCAGGGGTTTGAGCAGGCAGTACAGAGATTGGTCCATGTTTGAAAAGATCACCCCTGGCCCAGAGGAAGCAAGGAGGACAGGGAGGAGATCGCGGTAGAAGTCTCGGTCAAAGACACAGAGGTTTGTTGTTGGGTGGGGCCCGGGAGGTGAGAGAAACAGCCAGAGTAGAGACACACAACAGGAAGCCTGGGCAGGACTTGGCCATCAATTGCAGATATCAGGAAAGTGAGAGAGATGATTCCCAGATTCATGTCTACAGCCTGGGAGGATGGAGGGTTCCAATGGAGAGATGTCTGGTTGGATTCTGGGAGACATGCCTGTGGAAGTTCAGAGAGGTGGTTCAGAGAAGCCTGGAGGGTGGGTGGAACTCTGAGCATTATGGGTGTGGTGGTCTTTCGGCCTTGGGTGTCCCAAGGAGAGAGAATAGAGTGAGAAGGGTAAAGCAGGGTTGGCCAAGATGGGGCCGGGAAGAACTCTGGTTGGGGGAGAAGTAAGAGCAGGTGGAAGAGACTGAAAGGAGTGGTCAGTGGAACAGGAGAAAAGCCAAGGCCAGGTGACATCCTGGAACTCAGAGAAGACCACCCAGGTATGGTGGGCGCAACTGGGCCAGGTGCTGCTGGGGTCACGGAAGCTAGGCACTGAGCGTTAGTGTGGGGGCATGGAGGATTCAGCCTTTCGTGGGAGAGGCCGGGGCAGGTGAGGCGTGAGAAAAAACTGAGGAACTATAGGAGAATTCATGTGTGGACCACTCCGGGAAGAAGCCTGGCACTGAAGGGGAAGACAGAGGAGTGACTGGCGAAGATGTGGGGGTTTTAAAGACAAGAAATAGTGGAACATGCTCGGGTGCTGGAGGGATGACTGCTTAGAGAGGAAGGAGTTGGTGATGCAGGACAGAGGACTGATTGGTGGAGTGAGGTCCCTGAGGAGGGAGAAGGGGATGGGAGCAGCAGAGGCCTGGCTTCAGGTCACGGGAAGCCAGTGTGCTGCCGAAGGGTAGCAGGTTCATGTCGAAGGTGAGGGATTCCACTGAAGGCTCTGGTTTTCTCCATGAAGTAGGAGGAGAGGTCATCAGCTGAGAGAGGCAGGATTGGGGGCATGGAGGGAGGTGGCATCTGTGTGTCTTCCTAGATCCCCCACACCCACTCCCCTTGACAAGGGGAGGTAAGGGTGGCGCATCCACTGCAGAGCATGGGAGAAGCCGACTAGAGAAAACTTGGCATTGAGAGCTCTGGTGAGGTTGGAAACACTGGGTCCCCAGTCCAGAACTTTCTCTGGTTTTATGGACTCTAACGTGTGAAGGTGTGAGATTTCCCCCATCAGCGCTTAGCTTCTTGGGTGCTGGTGAGGAGAAAGTGGGTGATTGGGCTCGCCCAGGTGGGTGAGAAGAAAGAAGAGAGGAATAAGGGGTTTTAGGTTATTTATGATGATGACTCACTGAATATAAGCCTGTTAAGGAAGATGAGGAAGGATGGGTGCCAAGGAGATTGGAGAACAGAGCTGGGAGGCCAGGCCAGGAGGGACTGGGGGAAGAATGGGAATTAGGAATGAGTGAAATTTCAAGTGGTGATGAAGTTGGGGTGTCGCCATGGGAGTGGGTGGCTGAGGCGGACTGGAAAAGAAACCATTGGAAATGAGGAGGTCAAGGATGTTACTCAATGGGCTGTCTACTGAATTTATTTAACAAATATTTATTAAGCACCTACTATGTGCCAGGCACTGTTCTAGGCATTGGGGATACAGCAGTGAGCATGGCAAAGACCCCAAACTCATGGAGCTTACAGTCTAGTGGGGTGAAACAGACCATAAGCAGGTAAACACACACACAAACAATTTTAGAGAGTGGTAGGCATTATGGAAGAACACACAGTATAGTGGGATAAAAACTGGCCGCAGGATCTGGGCAGACCTCTGTGAGATGATATTTGAACTGAGATTTGAGAGATCAGGGAATGTGGGGAAGATCATTCGCGACAGGGGAGCAACGAGTGCAAAGGCCTTAAGGCAGGAACTAGCTGTGTCTGAGGGACAGGAAGGCCAATGAAGCCAGAGCAGAGTTCACAAGGGCAAGAACGGTGGTGACGAGGTGAGAAGGCAGACAAAATCCGGAGGACACAGGATCTTCTAGCCACAGTAAGGAGGATGAATTTATTCTAATCGTAATGGGGACAAAGGTTTGATTGTGGAAGTGATGTGACCCCAGCCACACTCTTAAACGATGCCTCTCGCTGCTGAGGCCAGGGGGCAAAGGCAGAAGCAGGGAGACGACCTAGAGACGTGCCTTAGTCTCTGTGGGAGGAGATGGCCTGGAAAAGGATGGTGGTAGTGGAAGTGGTGAGCAGTGGCCAGGGCTGAGTGGAGACCACTTGCAGGCACGGATGTGGGTGGAGGTGGGAATTGAGTATCCAGGAAGGCACGAAGGCTCCCGGCCTACCACTGAGTGGATGGTGGTGTCATGAACTGAAATGCGGATGCAGTGGGTTTGGCCAGGGATGGGGAACCTGTCCTTCAAGTGAGAAGTCTGGTAACCATGGGACAGGGGGGTTCGGAGGGAGACTGGACTAAAGACCCTGGTTAGTGTTCAGAGCCTGGGGCTTGATGTGGCCATGTGGGGACTGAGTGAGCACAGCTGGAGGAGCTCTGGGGTCCTGGGCTGAGCCCTCCACCTTCCCCAGTTGGGTCCACGAAGAGAAGCCACCGGAGGTCAGGAATGTTGCATGTGCTGTCCCTGCTGAGTACCCTTTGCCCGCCTCCTACCTGCCTTTTCCCACAGGTACGTGTACGACCACATTGGCGGGGAGCACTCTGAGGTGATCCCCGAGCTGGCGGCCTCCGTGGCCACATTTGCCGTCACCACTCTGTGGCTTGGGCCTTGTGACATTGTCTACCTGTGGTCACTCCTAAACTGCTTTGGCCTCAACTTTGAGCTCTGGGTGCAGAAGCTGGCAGAGAGGGAGCCCTTTGCACACATTGAGGTGAGCAGGGAGGGGCTGGCTGGGGACTGCTGCTCTCTGAAGGCTCCCAGCCACACTTGGTCCCCAGTCCAGAACTTTCTCACCACCACCCTCCTGGTTGTCAGGATAATGGCTCACCTGGGGGTATCTGGCCCTCCCTGCCTTCTGTGTGGTGTGGGACCCCCAGGGCTGGCTATGTTGGTCAGGCCCTCACCTTTAACAGTGAGAGAGAGGGCTGGCCTGGGACTCTCAGACCCGGGCATATCCCAGGGCCTCCGTGACCATGTGGGAAAGCCTCTGACCGACCATGACCTCTTCCCTCTGGGCCTCTTGCCACACTGACAATGCTTTCCTGCACCGCGCAGGCCTCTCTGTCGGAGCAGATGTCTCGCAGGGTCCGGGGTATCTTTGGGGCCATGAACTTCTGGGCTATCATCATGTACAACCTTGTAAGCCTGAACAGCCTGGAGTTCACAGAGCTGGTTGCCCGGCGCCTGCTACTCTCAGGTGAGAGACAGGAGGGGGGATACAGAACGAGACCTTCTGCAATGCCCCCACCCCCGTCACTGCAATGCCCCAGGGCGGGTCGAGTGGGAGGGGCATGACTGAGAAGAGTCACCCAGGACCTCTCCCCCCACAGGGTTTCCCCAGACCACACTGGCCGTCCTGTTTGTCACCTACTGTGGTGTTCAGCTGGTGAAGGAGCGAGAGCGAACCCTGGCGCTAGAGGAGGAGCAGAATCGGGACAAGTTGAAGCCGGAGTAGGCGGGAGGGGGAGGGACGGCTCGGCTCAGCCATTCCTGGGCCCAGGCCAGGCCAGGCCAGATGAGGCCTGACCAAGAGAATAAAAGACTTTTCTATCACAGCTTGGCTGGCCCCTCCCTTCCCCGCCCCCTGGCGGTCCCCTGGCTCCTTGTCTATGCAAGGTGAGGAGCAGGGAGTTCTGGGCCTGGGAGGGGAGGCGGGGGAGGGTCAAGGTCTTGGCACACGCAATGTGGAGGACACGCCCACATGGAGGGCAGAGACCACCAACCCAGGTGACCCCAAATCTGAGCACTAAAGCCCCAAACCTTCAAACTAGCTGGTCACTAACTCTTGGAGCCCCGGCTTCCGGACCCGGAGCTGCCCGCTCAGAAGGCACTTTATTCTTCTCACAGAAGGAGCCCTATCTGTGCTGCCGGGAGCACTCCGTGGGGACCGTCCCCCTCTGACAGCCAGGACTGGGGCTTGTGGGGAATTTTCTGGCACACAGCCGGGCTGGGACAGGGCCGGGATGCAGCCGGGGATGATATCCCTGTGGTTCTGGCTCAAGAACAGGGGGACATGGTGGAGACCGGAGACCCCAGAGAGGCCTTAAGTTCCTCGTCCCTGCCCCAAGGCTAGGACTGGGCAGCTATCACCTTCCCATTGAAGCAGCCACTCGGCCATTACAACAGGTCCAGGTGGGCTCTGGCCTCTCCCAGCCTCCTCCCTGGAGCCCCCAGGAGGCCCGGCCTGTGTGGGCCATGGGGTGGGACGGTGCTGAGTTCAGGCCCTCCAGGTTGCTCACATCTTGGTCAGGCGCAGCACGTTGAGCCGCACGGGCAGGAAGGTGGCGCCGGTGGCATAGGCAATCTCCCGCAGGACACCTTCCCACTTCTTCTCATCCTCGTTATATCTGCAGGCGGGGCAGGGACAAGGAGCTTGGTCAGCCGAGTTCAGAGTCGGACCCAGCAGGAAGGGGTGGCTGGGTGCCTGAGGCCCACCCCTGAGGAGTCCCCACCCCACCCTACCCCAGCCCTGGAGAATGGTCCACTCTTAGAGGTTTCCCAAGTAATGGGAAAGGTTCCCACAAGACTCACCCCCAGAGAACATCCACCCCACATTCCAGGAAGGGCACTTCCTCCTCTGCCCCCCAAGTCCCCCCAACTCCCACTCTCCCAGCAGCAGTGCCCCCTGCAGGCTGCCGGCAGCAGTGGGAGAACTGAAGGATCAGAAGGTGCCCCAGGTGGCCTGGACCTCTCCCCTCCACCCCCAGGAAGGACCAGCCATGGAAAGCAATGGCTCTGCGGAACCGGGGTCCGGCAGATCGCAATCCTGGCCCCAGCTCTCCCCCCAGAGCCTCCAGGAGGGAGGGGAGAGGAAAGGGCCCCTGTTTCCGTGGGTCTGTGCCCTAAACTTGGGGTCAGCTCCCGGCTGTGACACTGTTGGGGCCCCACAGTGGGGCATGGTGTCATGTGTGCAAACCCATACTTTCCCAGCTGTGGTGGGCTGGCACGGCCATGCACACTCAGCCCCACGCTGGGTGCCTTATGTGCCGTGCCAGCTCAGCCAGGTTCGGTGAGCACGAGTGAGGGCGGTGAAGGATGGAGAAAAGACAGACAAGAGAAGAAAGCTGGGCCTTGGCGGGATGCCCTCCTCTCTGATCGAGAGGGACAGCGCCACGGACTACACACCGTGTCTTTATTTTATAGCAGATTCCACGAAGCAAAGTAAGGGCGTGGTCAAGATGTTTACAACATTCTCGTGGGTTTCGATCCTACTCAACTACAGGCACCTGAACTCTATCAAGCCCACATCATTCAGGCACGTGGGGTCACGTGTTCGGACCATAGGTTCACGCTCACAACTACAGCTGTTGGCTATAATTGTGCTGGGAGGGCTCTGCCCTCCAAGCTGGGACTTACACGTGGCCATGAGAGGACTGTGCCCTCTCATCAGTCCGAAGCTTGAACCTGTCCAAACCCTGTAGCCCAGTGGTTCTGAACCTTCTGGCCCTTTAAATACAGTTCCTCATGTTGTGACCCAACCATAAAATTATTTTCGTTGCTACTTCATAACTGTCATGTTGCTACTGTTATGAATCGTCATGTAAATATCTGATATGCAGGATGGTCTTAGGTGACTCCTGTGAAAGGGTCGTTCGACCGCCAAAGGGGTCGCGACCCACAGGTTGTCCACACCCAACCAAACTGGAGAGAACCGGGGCTGAACGGGGTCTACTGTCCCTTCCCCCCAGGGCTCTCAGAAGAGGGATCAGCTCTGCCCCCAAGAACCTGCCAGGTGCCGCGGTGCCCGCCATGAGGCTGTGAGCCGTCAGCCTTGCTCATGATGCCCCTCTCCTCCCGGGGCCAGGCTCACCTCCAGATGTCGTTGAGCTCTGTGGGGACCAGCTCCCCGGACTCAGTCTCCAGAGTGGCAAAGCCACCGATGGCATAGAGGGTGCCCGCCAGGCTGACCAGGCTGAGCGAGCTGCGCTCCTGCGGGAAGGCCTCAAAGGGTGCCCACCTGGTGGGGGGTGGGGGGAAGGGAGAGGAGGTGCATCACCGGGAGGCCTCAGCAAACCGAGTGACTGTCCCACCCCAGCACCCACAGCCTCAGTCGCACCTCTGAAATCTGAACCCCAGGGTCCCAGGCTCTCAACACAACCTCCTGTTCTGGACCTTCTCAAGAATGCCCACCTGTGTCCCTGCCCAGGCCTCAGAGTGTCCCAACCCTCTTCCCCTTCCCCTTCCCTCTGGTCTTCACTTCCTTTCCCATTCAATTACCCCCAACACTTCCCTTCACTGTCCATTTGACATTCTACCCAACCTGTCCCCCAGAACCCACTATGGACCTCCCCTGTGTCCCTCCTTCACTCCCACTTGCTAGCTCAGTGGCCATTAAACCCCCGACCCCTTGGACTCCTGCCCTGACCCCTTCTCCCACAGTCCAATTACTCTCAGGGAGTCTTCATCCCCACCCTCCAAAACTGCTCGCAGGTCCCCGACTCCCCAGGGCTTGGGAATCCAGGCGCAGCGCACACACTGCTGGTGTGACTTGCTTCACACCTACCTCAGCTGTCATGAAGCATCTTAGTAAAACACAGATGTGCGCTCACAACCCCTCAGAGGCATTGGGAGAAAGTTCCCCAGCCTGCTGGCCGCCTCTACAGCCCCAGCACCCCCTCACCGCACTCCATCCAACCTGAGCAATTCCTCCACGTGGGCCGGCCCTTTTCTCCTAACTGCCTTGGCACCAACGGTCCTTAGCCTGGGCATCCTTCTCCCACCTCAGCTGTTGTCTTTCTGACTTCCCAGGGCAGGGTAGCTTGGTCACCACTGCATCCCTCGGACCAGGCCAGTGTGTGAGTCTCTGAATGAGGAACCTGGCATCTCCTACCCTAGTCCTGGGAGCTCTCTCCTGCCGACCAGGCTGGCCCTAACCCTCGCCCCACCTTGTGGGGGAAGCCCACCTCACTACTGGTCAGGGGAGTGGGACTACTTCTGTGCTGATGTCCAAGCTCAACTGTGAAAACCCAATTCCGAGCTATGCTGCTCTCGGGGGCTGACTGGCCTAGGCCCAAAGCCACACAGCCAGGGGGTTCCAGCGAGGCCGTGGGCCCTGGTTGCCCTGCCTGGGGAAGGGAGGAAGAAAGGAGGCAAGCGCGTACTTGTTTTCTGTGATGCTGTACACCTCCACGGAACTAGTCAGCCCCGTGTCCGTGACCCCGGCGGCCACAAAAATGCGGCCATCATGCACGGTGGCCCCAAAGAGGGACCGGGCCGTCTGCATGGGAGCCAGCTCCTTCCACTCGAACTTCTTGGGGTCATAGACGCACATCTTGTTCAGGCACTTCCTGTGGGTGGAGGCCGTCAGAGAGAGCCAGGCAGGGGGAGCAGGGCACCTCCACCCTTGGCCCAGTCCCTCCCCAGGCAGCCAGGACACCTGCCACCCCCTGCTGCGCCCACTGCGGGCCTGAGCCTCACCGGTTGCTGCCTTTGCCGCCAATGACGTAGACAAGGTCCATATGGGAGAGCACCGCGTGGCCGTACACCGCATATGGCAGCGGGTCCGACTCCCCCCATTTGAACGACCTGGAGGGGAGGGGAGAGGGTAAACACACTGGGTCCCTGTCTCTGCACCCCCCCACCCCCCCACCCCCCC